TCGGTGCCTTGGAGTCAGGCCCAGATTTTTCAGTTAAGCTCTGTTCATTTTACCTTGTGAGGTGCAGGCTGTTGCTCCAGCAGGTTAGGATGTTTTGGGATCCTGAGTGTGTCTTCCAGAATATTCCCTGACCTCACTGGCTTCCTGATATTCATATAGGGGCTTGCTTACTGACTGACCAGACTGGTAAAAAGGTGGGTTAGGATAGGAGTAAAGATGGAGGGCCCTCCCTGGTGGAGCAATGGGCTAAAACACAGCACTATGAAGCTCTCCATAGCCATTGAAGCACAAGTTTGATCCCCGGCCAGGGAGGTGACTCACATGGTGCAGCAGACCTCTCCTGACCCACCTGCTGCTCCCCTCAGCAGTGTACTTTGTCAATCTGCCTGTTCTGCGCCCTAATCTGTCTCTGGTGAATCCTCTCACCGTCCCTGTACCTCTGTCCTATACCCCAGTTCTGTATGCATAAATAAATAAATCTTAAAAAAAAAAAAAAGGAGTAGATATAAACAACCAATCAGCACTGAGGGCACTCCTATGAGCAAAGCCCCACATCAGCCTGAATAGGGATGGCACCTGACTTACTTTCATCACACTTATGAAAACATTGCATTTCACAGCCTGACAAATAGAGCCAGAGTAGATAAATAATGTGTCCAGAATACCTTGCAGGGTTAGCAGCTGAGCCTTTCCTGCCATCTTCAGCTCTCACCTCTAGGTCTTCTAGCTCTCAAAGGAAAGGCAGAAGATAAAAGTGACAAGGCTGCCCCTCTGACTGGAAAGAGAAAGATTTTTAGAGTTGGAAGGAATCTTAGAAATGATAGAAAGCTTAACAGATAAGAGAGCTCAGGTATCTTGCCAAGATCACTTAACAGACTTCACTCCCATTGAGACTAAAATCTGGGCTTCTTGAGGATGGAGCCACTATTCACTTAGCTACACCTCCAGGTAAATTTGATGCAGAACGGCACTCTAAAGGGAAACACGTGGGACCAATGCTTTTCTACTTCTAAGTCCCAGATGCTTCCTTCTTTGATTCTAGAAGGACTCGGATGGGAGGACAAACAACATTTTCCTCCTGGGCTTCCACAGAGAAACCTTGCTTGCTTTTCTTCTCATACCTCAGGGATTAGAACCTTGGCACCTGCTACCCGGTCTTCTCCTTGCCACAATCCACATTTGGCTCTCAGTGTGCCAAGAGGGGGCTGCATCTGGGGCCCTAGGTGACTGTACAGTCATACCGATGGGCAGCATGGCCCTCCTCTCATGTCTGCCTCACCAAGTCTATGAGCTGTGGTGGTGTGAAGGCAATGGGAGGTTGGCCCTTGTCCATGATGTGAGCCCTGAGTTCACACTGCTTGGGGGACAACCTGCTTCAGGTCCATAACCAGAAGAACTCCTAATTCAGCCTGCCCTGGGAAGGTGGGCTCAGCTACCAAGGCTCAAACGCTGCTGAAAAATAAAATCATTCCAAAGACTAAGTCCTTAGTCTTAGGCACTTAGCATATGTACTGAGCAGGAGGCATAAGAAATTGCATTGCTTCTACCAGTATCTGCCTAGTTAATGATGATGATGGTAGTATCAAGCCCATGTACAAACACCATATTCAGTACTTTACATATATTATTTAATCCTTAAACATCCCTGTGAGACATTATCGCGTCCATTTTACAGGCAAGAAAGTTGAGGCACAGGATGATTGTGTATCATTGGATAAATCAGTTAGTAAGTAGCTGTGTTTCTAGAGCAGTGAATGTGGCTCCCTAGGCCAGAATGGGAAACAGATCCCAAAAGATGCAACAACTGAGCCTTCTTCATTCCAAAAGAAAGTTAGCTATTGGCCTAAGATGCTACAGGCCTTGGGGAGCCCACATCCCACAGCTTCATTAGGTAAGTCACAGTATAAGGTAAGAAATTCATCTAATCTGACTCTTGTTTAATGGGTAACTGTGTTGCCTGAAGATCTGACTTCAACTTCCATTGCTCAGGTTCTCTGAGGAACAGGTTGAAAAGCCAAAGCATGAGGTCCCCACATAAAACTGCCAAGTGAGTGGCACAATGTAGCACAACACTATGAAGCTAGCCACAGCAGTGCAACATGAGTTCGATTCCCGCCAGGCAGCTGACCCACAAGGAGCAGTAGATCTCTCCTGATCTGCCCACTGCTTCCTTCAGCAGTGTATTTCAGTTGATCTGCCTGTTCTGCTCCCCACTCTGTCTCTGGTGAATTCTCTCACCCTCCAGCACCTCTGGCCTGTACCCCGGTTCTTGTATGCATAAATAAATCTTAAACAAACAAACAAACTGCCAGCCCTCCCTGGTGGTGCAGCAAGTTAAAGCACAGCACTAAGAAGTTAAAGTCACCTCAGCATGAGTTCGATCCCCACCCCAGAAGTGATCCACAAGGCACGGCAGACCTCTCCTCACCTGCCCGCTGCTCCCCTCACCAGTGTACTTTGCCAGTCCACCTGTTCTGCTCCCCACTCTGTCTCTGGTGAATCCTCTCACTGCCCCTGCACCTCTGGCCTGTACCCCAGCTCTGTATGCATAAATAAATAAATAAATCTTAAAAACAAAACTGCCAAGTGAGAAGGGAGTCAGAACCTCTTCTGGACTCAGGCCACCAGTATTGCCCTGGAAAGCAGCACCATGTCAGAGGTGAATGCCTTCCGGGCCCTACCTGGTGGCGGAACAGGTTAGGGTGCAGCACTGCAAGCTAGCAGCAGCCGCTTCAGTGGGAGTTCAAGACCTGGCCTGAGAGATGACCCACATGGCACGGCAAACCTCTCCTACTGCTCTCGCCCACCGCTCCCCTCAGCAGTTTACCTTGTCTATCTGCCTGCTATGCTCCCCTCTCTGTCTCTGGTGAATCCTCTCATCACCCCCTGCACCTCTGGCCTGTATCCCAGCTCTGTATGCATAAATAAGTAAATCTTAAAAAAAAAAAAAAAGGTGAATGCCTACTTCCTTCGACAGTCTCCACGAAGCACCAAAGGTGCACCACCAGCTACACCCTTGGAAGTCAGCTTTGCCTGGATCCCCAGCCTTTCCCCAGGAGGCACTTATTTTCCAGTGTGGCCAGCAGGGGGCATCCTCACCCTTCCACCTTCTGCCCTAGGGTGTGACTGGCAGGCTGCCTGGTGTGCCCCTACTCAGTTCAGCCCAGGAGCCATGTTTCCCAGACCAGGAATTTGTGTGACCTCCCTGATTTTCTCCACATTATTTACACAAGAGCTTTCTTGGTCAACTTATTTTTAAAACCTAAATGTCTTTTTTGAAAGAAAAGAAGCCCTATTTGATGAAGGTTTTCCTGGCTCTCCTAGCTGTATGGATTCCCATTCTGCAGACTGCTTTGTAGGATAAGGGCTGGTGAGTCCATTCCTGCTGAAGCTCTCAAGGACTAGATTCAGGCACTGCTGTCACTGGGTACAGCTGGCTTTATCTGTGGATTCAGAGTCTCAGTCTTCAGAGCCCGAGGTTGAAAGAAGCAGAATCAGAAATTCTAAAATTCCTGCCTTCCTCATTGCACCTCCCATCCTATGAAATAAGAGGTGCCCTGTCTCTTCCCCTCCTGGCTGAGGGAGAGAGGGTTTTGGGCTTTAAAACCCAAGGTGGAGAGAAGCCTGCTGACTGCTGGGCAGCTGAGAGCTAGGGACTTAGGTGTGGGATCAGGGTGGCTGCAGGTGACAGGTGCTGGGGCTTGAGAAGGGTCTGGGATTTCCCTTGCAAAAATCCATTCAAACAGAGAGAGGGAACCTGATCTCTGAGAGGGAATCAGAACTGCAGGGGATACCTGACAGGCCAGAGGCTTGAGGAGAGTAGAAGGGGGGAGATGAAAGACAATAGAGCTTGGGGAAGGCTCATCCTCCTGGGAGGCTGAGTCCTAGGGGGTGTGGGGGGGAGGAGTATGGGAAAGGGAGTGATCCCCAACTGTTTCAGAGCCTCTGTCAGGCCTTGCTCTAGGCTCCCTTCCAGTGGCCTTAGAAATCCTTTTCTAGAGATTATTTTTGTGCTAGCTCTCACTGGTCCCCACCCTCCTGCCTGGCCTGGACTGATCAATGGAGGCAATTCTAGGGCTTGTGTGAGAATCCCACAGTTGCCAGAGTTTGTACAAAGGCCCAGGCCCTGAGAGGGGAAGGAAGTCCCGAGCAGACTCTCTGCTCCCCTCCCCCTCACTGGATTAAGGAGGGTGATAAGAGGAGCAGGTTAGGTAAGAGGAAGTGGGTGAATTGAGCTGGGCTGAGACTGAGCTCCCTGGGCCAAGAGCCATGTTAGGGCCATGCCCCTTGAAGGGACACCCAGAGCTGGCCTTTCTGCCTCAGGCTTGTGCAGAGAGTAGAGGAAGGAGGCTGGCGAAGAAAGAGCAGTGGAGGCTGCCCGCTAAGGGCTGCTCAAAGCAGCAAAGTGCAAAGTGCAGACTGCTTAGGCTCTAGGCCTCACGCCGGCTCAGAGGACCAGGAGAGTCACCTATGGTGGGTGAGGGTAGTGATTGCCTCACTTGAACCTCATTTTCATGGGGAGGAAGCACTGAGAAAGAGAAGCTGGGCATTCAGCAAACTTTGCTTATTCAAAACACTCAGTCCCAGCCGGACTCCACTTCCGTGGTTGTCCCCTCCACTAGTGAGCTCCTTGCATCCTCCCCTCAGCCCCAGCATGGTCAACATTACCCACCCTGGCCCCCTTGTTCCTTCTTCAGCCCCCCCCTGACAAAGGTTTAACAACTGGGAGGCCACCAAGCCTCATGACCTGCTTAGTACAGCACAGAGACAGGAAGCTCTGAGCAGGAAGTACTGAGGCATGGGGTGAGGGTGAGGGCGGGGCTTTGAGGAGGGGAGTCCTGCCTCTCTGGGCAGGAGCAGTGACCACAGCCCCCCACAGCAGGCAGGCAGGAGGGAGGAGGCTGATTTAAAAAGCAGATGGGCCTCAGGCAGGAGCATTCAGCTCTTCACCCAGCCACAGCCACCCACAGGCTGTAAGAGCTCCCAGACTTCCGGACCCACTTGGGGCTGCTGCCATGTGAGCCAGGCCAGGCTTCCCTCCCTCTTTTCCTCCTCCTGCCCGCCAGTGCCTGCCCAGTCTCTCCAGAGAGGGACAGACACTTGACACCATGTCTCTGCTCAACCCTGTCCTGTTGCCCCCCAAGGTGAAGGCCTACCTGAGTCAAGGGGAACGCTTCATCAAATGGGACGATGTGAGTGGGGCAGGGGCAAAAGGCTGCTGGGGCCCTGGGGTGGGGGTCCAGGCCTTGAGAGGGTTTTGCTAGAGAGGGTGGGTTTGTTTATGTCTGCCAGGACCCAGGTGCCTGCGTGGTTTGGCCAGCGGCTGACACAACTGCCTGGAAAAACAAGGCTGGGGGAGAGGGTGTGCGCCCCGTGTGTGTCCTTAGGTGGCATATGAGAGAAGGGTGGTCTGCTTCGGTGGTCACAGGAGAAATTTCTTTGGGTTTGGGCCTGGGTCTGTCTTTCCCCAAAGCTGCCAAGAAGAGCTGGTTTGTTGCTCCTACTCACAGTAGTGGGGGGAAAGAGGGCCCCACAGCTGATGCAGAGCCACTGGAAGAGGTCACAGGCCTCTACTCTCAGCACAGAAACCCGACTCTGGAATCCTTTACTCCTCTGCCTCCCCTAAGTTGCTGAGAAACTACCACAAAAGGGCCTGGGACCCTTGTGGAAATAAGGGTGAAGGCGGGGTGCTGGGCTCCCATGCTCAGAGAGGGAGCTGGTTGACTTCTGCTTCTGTTTGGCTGCTCTTCCTGCCTCTCTGCCGCCAGCCTGTCTGCAGGGAAGGGGGAAGGCCCCACTTTGCCCACAGCTCAGCCAGGGGAATGGCTGCTGTCAGGTCCAGTAAAGAATCAGAGTGACTGGGGTGGGGGTCTAGACTGGAGGAAGAGAATAGGAAGGCTCTGTGGGGAGGGGAGAGGCCCCTTCGGCTGACTCTGGCCTTAGGGTGGGATGCGGGGACCCTGGGTGTGAGTGAAGGCAAGCTGGAGCTCTTGGGCCTTCAGGGCTGGGCTAAGCTGAGAAATGTGATTGCCATGCTTGTGTGTGGGGGGTGTCATGGAGAAAGCTTCCCGCTTCCCTAAGAGTGGTGTGGTCGATGTGGCACGTCCCGGGAGCTGGTGGGATGAGGGAAGTGGCTCAGAATGAAAAATGAAGTAGTCTGTCTCAGTTCCTCTGGGAAGTGTGTGTAACCTGACTGGGGAACTACTAGGGGTGGGGACAGGCAAGCCCACACCTGGGTAGTACCCTGATTGCCCCAAGCCCTGCGGCCTCCACGCACCTGTGAGTCAGGGTCTGCTTTCAGCTCAGTGGGCAGTTGACTGGGGATGCTGTGCCAGGCTGAATAAACACAATGCCCAGGATATAATCGAATCCCAATTTAATGTTTGTCTCCTGCAGCTCTTTACGATGCATTTGGTGGGAAGGAAGGAAACACGTAGTGCCACTTCTCATCGCAAAACCCAGCCCGATTTTAGAAATTACAGTTAAAACCCCAGCTTTATTTCAGAAGGACATCTCTGCCCTCCTCTCTGTAGGAGGAGGAAATCATAGGAATGATTTCAAGTAGGCTGTGGGTTTCCTGAAAGGCCTGTGACAGAATTCCCCCCTCCTCCTTTGAGCCTTGGGGGGGGGGTGGGGGGTGGCTGGGGAAGGATGGGGTTGCTGAGGAGGTAGGAAAGGAGTCCCAAAGTTCCTCATGGGACAGATGCCACCATGCTCCTTGGGTCAGAAAGCTAAGGTTGGTTTTTTCTCTGACTAAGAGACAGACCATTCTTGAAGGTTCTTGGAAGGGCTCGTGGGCTGGGGTCGCTGCGTGCCATGTCTGTTCCAGGTGGCTGGTAATGACTTCTTCATCCCCTTGGACTCCTGCTGCTTCCTGTAGCTTTGGATTCTTTGCCCGTCTCTCCCACAGGCCTGCTGTAGGCCCTGCCAATGCGCTGGGGTTACCTCTGGGGGTTCAGGCACACATCTAGCACACGCACACTGGGGTCTCTTCACTTTCAACAATCAGCCTGTCTGCCACCCACCTGGTTTCTGGGCAGGAGTCAGATTGTTACAGCCCGCAACTGTAGGGGTAACCAAAGCTCTCCAGGCACAGTTCAAACCCTTCACCTGATTAAGGTGAAGCATCAGGTACCCCATCCCTCAGATGGGGTGGGAACAGTAGGAGCAAGAAGTGCACAACACAACACAGCTTTCTCCAGAATTAGCCTCCTCAAAGTGTTCTCTTCCTCCTACATTCTAGCCAGCCCTGATAGGAGAAGCTTTACTTGGACCACTACCTTTGTAAATTTGACTCATGTCTGGGTTTGTGACACAACAACCAAGCCTGGTTGGACACCTCCAGTTTCATATCTTGTACGGGTGTTCAAAGGCCATTACAATGAAAGGCGGCCTTTGGTTTTGTGAGTGCAGCAGGAAGAAGGCCAGTGCAAACCTCCCTCACGTGTGCCTTCAGCAGGTTCAGGGCACATTGCTCACGCTCTGGTTCAGTGTCCAGCACAGGCTTGTTTCTCCCGAGCCTGCCAGCCCCTAGGGTTTCCCAAACTTGCTCCCACCCCACTGTTACACCCAGGGAGGTTTCAGGGAGGGCTTTGCAAAAGAGGTGAGGTTGGGTGGGCCCTTGTAGGTATTGATATTTATAAGGCAAAGGAGGGCTAGGCTTGGAGGTGGGGACACACTTGGTGTGTCTGTGGGATGGCTGGGGTGGGGGGCATTCACGGAAGGGAGGACAAGGCATGCAGGAAGCTGCAGGGCCTTGGATGTGGGGGGGGGTTGGGTCCTGGGCTCTCTCTGTGCTGAGACCTCCTGGGGGTAGCATGGAGTTTGGGGAGAGGCTTTCTGCTCCTTTAACTGAGCTGTGGTCCTTGAAAACAAGGTGAGGTAGATGGCTAAGTCCCTGTTTGGGTTTTAAATGGACAACCTCTATTTGGGGTTTCGGGGGAAACCTCTTCTCTTCCAGAAATGCCATCTCCAATCCTCTACCCCTCCCCACCCCCGGTTCATCATTTTTAAAGCTTATAGCCAGCCCTTAGTTTTGGGGAGCAAAGGGGAATGTCTACAGATCCCCTAGATGACCACCTTTTGAAGAGATGGTAAGCTCTGAAACCCCTGGCCTGGGCCAGGGAAACAGGGCCCGAAGTCTTGGAGCAGAGAGCTGACCCCTTCTCTCTCTAGGAAACTGCAGTAGCTCTCCCAGTTATCCTGCGTGTGGACCCCAAGGGCTACTACTTGTACTGGACCTATCAGAGTAAGGTGAGGCAGCCCCATCTTCTTTGACTCTGACTCCTGCTTCTCTATGTAGTCAAAGCAGCCCACTGGTGATGTGAGGGTGAAGGCCAAAGCTAAGAAAGACCTGGGGGATCTTTTGTGGGCAGGGGTTATGTGTTTTGGGAGGGAGCATGCAGTCACTCCAACCATAGGTGCCTCAGGCCCAGACACTCTGGCCTTAGAACCCCTTGGAGAGACAGAGAAAAAAAAAAGCTGCTGCGGAGGGCTGACTCTCCACCTGTGGGCCTGAGTAAGCCTTAAGGGCCTGGAGAGACTAGAAGGAAGGACAGAGCAAATATGTGGGGAGGGTCCAGGATGGGAGCACTGAGGCTTCCCTGGCTCAGTTCCTAGGGAACCCGATTGGCTAGGGGAGGAATGGCCAGAGAGGATTGGCCAGGGGAGGAATGGTCCCATGGGTAAGGAGAATCTGATTGCCACAAAAGGAGGTCGGGGGAAGCCCATCCTTTGTGTCCAGAAAGGGAAGTTGACCAAGATGTGGGATAGTGGGGACAGCAACATTTGCCCTCCTCTTCATCCTTGATCTGACCTTTTGGTTCAAATCCCTTCTTTGCTTTTACTGGGGCACTCTAGGAAAAGGAGCTTCTGGATATAACCAGCATCCGGGACACCCGCTTTGGGAAGTTTGCCAAGATGCCCAAGGTAGGCAGTCCTCTGTGGCCACAAGGCTCCAGGGAGCCTGGGCAGGAGTCCTGTCGGGATGGGAGCCCTCATTTCTGAAGACTCCCTGGTTAGGGAACAGGGTGACCCCCTGAGACTCTGAAGGGGTGCTGCTGCTCCTGGGCTTGTCAGAGCTCCTGGATCAAGGCACTGTGACTGAACTGTCTGTGGCCAGCTCCAGCCCCTAGCGCACCCCGGGATCTCTGGGACATGTTGCTTATACCTCCTTGCCTGCTGGCTTGTTCCCCTGTATTTGCCTAGTGTTGTAGGAAATTGAAGGGTAGTCGGTTCCTTGAGGATAGAAACTAAGAATTCATCTTCAGATGAAACACCGTAGACAAAATATTCAGCACTATCAGGCCTCACTGACTTGGTTAACTTTTGCCTGTGAGCCTTTCCTGCCCCACAAGGAAGGAATTGCTGAGGCCCTGACTCCTGTGATAGAGATGGGATTCTGTCCCAGCGGGGCTTCATTCAAGTGGCTGAGGAGGAGGGACAGGGAGAGGCATTCTGGGCAGGGACAAGGCACATTGCCTGTGCTAACCATGCCACCACTTGCTACAGAGCCAGAAGCTCCGAGATGTCTTCAACATGGACTTCCCTGACAACAGCTTCCTGCTGAAGACACTCACTGTGGTGTCAGGCCCTGACTTGGTGGACCTCACCTTCTATAACTTCGTCTCCTACAAGGAGAATGTGGGCAAGGTGCGCCAGGAGCTTGGCCCTGGGGTAGCTTGGGCTTCTTGACCGGCGGGTCTTGGCCATGGGGTGGCTGGGGGACACCTGTGTGTCAGGGGCCTGACTGCCGCATTCTGGAGTCCTGCAGGACTGGGCGGAAGACATACTGGCTCTGGTCAAGCACCCACTGACAGTCAACGCTCCCCGCAGCACCTTCCTGGACAAGATGTAAGTGCTCACTTGGCCTTAGTGTACAGGGTAAGTCCAGGTCCTGGGCCTTGACTGGCTATTTCTGCCCCACCAGCTTGGTCAAGCTCACGATGCTGCTCAGCCCTGAAGGAAAGATTCCTGTTAAGAAGTGAGACTTCCTGACTCCTTGTTCACCCTTCCATCTTGTTCCTCCAAAACCCTCTTTCTCCAGGTCTCACTCCTCTCTTTGCCTGGCACCCTTCTCTGCTTCTTCAGTTTTTTCCAGATGTTTCCAGCTGATCGCAAGCGGGTGGAAGCTGCTCTCAGTGCCTGCCACCTCCCTAAAGGGAAAGTGAGTAGTCTTCCCCAGCCCCCCATTATTTTCCCTCCAGAAAAACTTGGCCAGGCCCAGTAGGGTGAGGAGAGCAGTGCCAGTGTTGTCCCAGCCCATAAAGCCAGGAGTTTCTGATACTAGTCACAGAGAGAGAACCAAGGAGCATGAAAGGAGCCAGGGTTGGAGCAGGCCACTCTGTCGCTACCAGATGTGGGGTGTTGGTGGGTGGGGTTGGAGGGTGAGGGGAGAAGCAGTGGCTGGTGGACTTTCTTCAGGAAAAGCAGCAGGAGCAGAAGCATTAGCATTGGAGTAGAAGTTAAGAGCAAATTTTTTTTTGCCTGGAGGAGCCAGACAAGGCCAGTAGGGACAGGAGGCAATCTGCAGGGACCTGGAAGCTCCAGAAAGGAGCTGGATCTGGGGAGGGGGGAGAGAGAATGGTTGGAAGGGAGTCATGAGGAACCCCAGAATCAAGGGTAGAAGCAGCCAGGATGCACACTCCAGCTCAACACAAGGAAAACAATATTTTCCTTTTTTTTTAGTTAAGTAAAAATCTTTTGACTGCAAGTTGTTTATAAGGTCACCCACCCCATGAGATGCCTCACCCGAACAGCAAAAAGGAGCGGTCTGGTGGGTGCTGCCCTGAGCCAGGGTTCATGTCTGGCCAGAGGACTAGATCTTAATGCTCACTGGGCTTTGGTCAGTGCCTCTGTATGGGGAAACCCTGCACCCCCCCGAGTCTCTTCTGGTAGAATTTGGAACATTTTGTAAATAAATAAAAGACCCCAGCTGATCACCTGTCCACATGAATCTCAGGGGAAGTCCTAGCTCTAGAGAGCTGGGACCCCTTGGTGTAGTCAGTCACAGTTGGAGCAAAGTGGAGAAAGGGCGGAAATGTGTTCCTGGGGCTGGTGCTCTAAGCCAGCAGGCCTTGCTGCTCTCAGTGCACACCGCTCTCCTTTTCTCCTGTCTCCTGAGCTCCCACTCCTGCCAAGGCCTCCTTATTTACCAGTTTCCTTGTGTCTAGTAGGGACCACTGGCTCTTTGCATGAATTCTTTTTGCTGATGGGTCCATATCTGATCTTAGGGAATTGAGGTCTGGTCTCTTGCTCAGACATTCTGCTCCAAGACTAATGTTCAGCTCCCAGTATGATCCTGGGTGCTGAAAAATGGGTGCTCAGTGTTCCTGATGTTCCCCTCTCTGCTCGGAGCTGTGCCTCTGACCAGGCCTTGTGCACAGAGCTGGGCCTTGTTTGTGATTCTTAGCCTTGAGAAGCCAGTACAGAAGCAATCACGTGATCTCTATCCCTTCTCCCCCAGAATGATTCCATCAATCCTGAAGATTTCCCAGAATCTGTCTATAAGAGTTTCCTCATGAACCTCTGTCCTCGGCCAGAAATAGATGAGATCTTCACTTCCTAGTGAGCTCTTGGGCTGGGCTGGGGATGGGTCAGGGCTGGTGGCTGGTGTTCCCAATTGCCATGCTGGGGATCAGGCTACTTTGGAGGAGAAGGAGGTTGTTCCCCCATCCCACCCCCACTTGCAGCCCAGGGGTAGAACTGCACACCTCTCTCTGGCCTGCAGTCATGCCAAAGCCAAGCCCTACATGACCAAGGAGCACCTCACCAAATTCATCAACCAGAAACAGCGGGACCCCAGGCTCAACACATTGCTGTTCCCTCCAGCACGGCCTGACCAGGTGCAGGGCCTCATCGACAAATATGAGCCCAGTGTCATCAACGTGCAGAGGGGTGAGACTAAGGGAGTCCCTTTCCCGCTGTGGCCTGCCCTAGTGGCTGTGCCCTGACAAGGAGAGCTATCCCCTCTCCTTCAGGCCAGCTGTCCCCCGAGGGCATGGTGTGGTTTCTTTGTGGGCCTGAGAACAGCGTGCTGGCCCAGGACAAGCTGCTGCTCCACCAAGACATGTCTCAGCCACTCAATCATTACTTCATCAACTCCTCACACAACACCTACCTGACAGGTGGGTCCTGGCCACTTTGCTGCTGACCTCTCCTTCTAGGGAGATTGTCCTGTTCCCTGAATCCTCCACAGGAGTTGTCCATGGGCTGCCAGCAAGATAGACAGTGATGGAGTGGGTGAGGGTGAGCTGGACTGCCCTTGAGTGACATCCTGCCCCCACCCCGGCTCAGCTGGCCAGTTCTCAGGCCTCTCCTCGGCTGAGATGTACCGCCAGGTGCTGCTGGCTGGCTGCCGTTGTGTGGAGCTAGACTGCTGGAAAGGAAAGCCCCCTGATGAGGAGCCCATTATCACCCACGGCTTCACTATGACCACAGACATCTATTTCAAGGTGAGACTTGGCTTGTGGAGGCTGGTGACAGGAGCACTAGAGAAGAGCCGCCCCAATTTTCTGGGGTTGGAGGAGATGAAGCAGAGAGGGGAAATGGCCAGGAAGCTTTGGATCAGGGTGGAAACAGAGGAGGTAGGGGCCAAGAGTGGTCTCCAGTTCTCATGTGTGTGTTGGAACTGGGGCTAGGAGAAGGATGCCATTGGGACAGGGGGAGCCTAGAGCATTGGCCTCCTCTCTACCTAGTCTCTTCTACCTCCAGGAAGCTATTGAAGCTATAGCGGAAAGTGCCTTCAAGACCTCCCCCTATCCTGTCATCCTGTCATTTGAAAACCATGTGGACTCGTGCGTATCCAGACCGCTTGGCCTCATTCTCTACCCTGTCCCTCTCTTCTGCCGGCCATCCTCACAACTGTGACCAGCCTCTGGGCCCTGCTCTCTGGCTCTGTCTCAAGAGACGACATAAACTCCATGGGACCCCATGCTCTCTTGGCTATACTTCTTCCTCCCCAACCTCCTGGGCCCCTGATCTGGGTCAAAGGCACAAAAGAATAGACAAGGAGGCTGAGGTACAGCTGCTGAACCCCACCCCATTTCTGCTCTCTGCAGACCCCGCCAACAGGCCAAGATGGCCGAGTACTGCCGGACAATGTTTGGGGACATGCTGCTCACAGAGCCCCTGGAAAAGTTCCCTGTGAGTGGAAAAGTCCACAGTTTCACTGTGGGGCATCTAGGCCTGGGGGTGGAGGAGCTGGGGCAAAGTGGGGGCCAGGTTAAGGAAGAAGATGCTCCAAAGGATGCTGGGGTTCATTTGGGAGCATCATGAGTCTGGGCACAGTGCTGAGTTTTGGGGATACGTTAGTGACAGAGATGTAGTCATTACCTCGGGGTTGCTTATCCTCTGCTAGGGTGACAGATGTGTAAGTTGGCCATTACAACCCCGTAGCTGTCATGGGAGTACTTGGGGCTTCCTGATGGGAGTATGTGGAGGGTCCTGATCTAGCGTTGGGGATCAGGGAAAGTTTTCTGAAGCAGGCGAAGGCTAAGCCAAAACTTGCAGGAGGTATTGGATTTATCTTGGTGAGGTGGGGAGGGGGTCTTCCAGGCAGGTGGAATAGGTGAGAGAGAGCATCATGTTGAGGAAATGGGATGCATTGAGTCAGGTGGTTGTTTAGCCTGGAGAGGGAACTGGTGGGGAGCTGGATAAGAAGGCGGATAGATGGAATATGGTGTGGGAGAAGGAGCTTAGGCTGTGTCATGAAGAATGAAGATGGTGCTGACCCTCTCCCGTCTCCCATAGCTGAAACCAGGCAGCCCCCTGCCCAGCCCTGAGGATCTCCGTGGCAAGATCCTAATCAAGAACAAGAAGAATCAGTTTTCTGGCCCAGCATCCCCCAGCAAGGAGGCAGGTGGGGAGCCTGAAGGCAGCTGCCCGGCCAACGCCTCTGTGGGTGAGGACACAGGCGAATCAACCTGGGAGGAGCAGGGTGGGTTGTGGCAGCATTTGGCATTGGACATGGGGCTGCACTGGTCCTGCCCCAGTGCTGATAGGGCTGTGTGTGTGGCAGTGTGGACTGGTGAGGAAGGGGCTGAGCTGGAAGAGGAGGTGGAAGAGGAAGAGGAGGAAGAGTCAGGAAACCTGGATGAAGAAGAGATAAAGAAGATGCAGTCAGATGAGGTGTGTGGAAACAGCCATCGCGACACCCTCTGCCCTGTGCTTCACAGGCCTCTGTGCAGGGACGTGAGGCCACATCTCTGGGCTCTCTCCCATCCTCTTCTCATCCTCCTCTCAACTTTCTAGGGTACAGCAGGCCTGGAGGTGACAGCTTATGAGGAGATGTCTAGCCTAGTCAATTACATCCAGCCCACCAAGTTCATCTCCTTTGAGTTCTCTGCCCGTAAGTTACCATGAGGTGGGATGAGGGGTGGTATGCTGGTGCTTCGGTTAGATCCCGAAGGCCCTCTGGAAGTGAGTACTGACACCAGAGCAGCTTTGGGGGGGAGGGGGTAGTAAGTGAAGGGGCATCTCCCCCTCCCCTTCCTTGGACTTGGGCTTTGTCTATAAATACCCAGCAGAGGAGTCAAGCAAAAACAGTTTAAGTGGTGATGGCTCCCAGCTTCCGGACGCTGTACTGAGAAACTTGGCACCAAGTAGAATGCTCTGGAGTATGTCGGTGACCGCCAGGTCATTTATGACAGGCCACCTCAGCTAGGCTGGCTTGTGACTCCCAGGGCTGAGCTGTGCCTTGGTCCTAGGGTACGATAACTCCAAGAGGGGCTGGAGAATGTGACCCTGTACACTCCCCTTTGTGTGCAAACCCATTATTTACCTTAATTCTCGCCAGACACTTGCCCAGGGAGCCTCTCGCCCTCTGTGCATGTCCCTGATGTGACACCTGCTTCCATATACACTGCACAGTGCATACCTTAGCAGGCTTAACTTCTCACCCCTGAACCCACCTGTGCCCACCCATACACTTGGTTGTACCTCTCACCCTGTCCCCACCCCATGTTCATTCATATATCACATACGTCACTCCCTCCGCATCATGATATTCTGACACTCTGGGCTTCTAGCACATTCCTCACACTTTGCCCCAGTCAGGGATTCGCCCCTCATCCTCCAGGACTGCAGTGTATGTATTCACCCCCTCACAGTTACCCACACAGATGTGCAGGGGGTCTGCCCCAGGACCCCTCCTGGGCTTGGCCCCCTAAACGTTCAAGCCTCAGTGGAAACACTAGGTTGGAGGCATCTCTGTGCTGGAGGGAGCTGTCCCAAAGGGGAGGGCAGGGCTGAGGGGGCGGACAGCCTGATATGGACTTCTCCTCCCTTCCTCCTATGCAGAGAAGAATCGGAGTTACGTCATCTCCTCCTTCACAGAGCTCAAGGCCTATGACCTGCTCTCCAAGGCCTCAGTGCAGTTTGTCGAGTATCCTTGAGGCTTCTGTAGCCAGGGGCCATGGTGGGGGGAGGGAGCCCTGGAAGGCCTGGGGACACGGGGGCTGTTGGGTCCTTCTGGTGCAGGTGGCCACAGGCCCAGCTCCTATACTCTGGGGGCAGCTACAACAAGCGCCAGATGAGCCGCATTTACCCCAAGGGCACCCGCATGGACTCCTCCAACTACATGCCCCAGATGTTCTGGAATGCTGGCTGTCAGATGGTGGCCCTCAACTTCCAGACAATGGGTGAGGGCCCTGAAAACTTTACCAAGCCCCTATCTCTCCCTTCTATGCCCCATCCCTGGGAGGGTGCAGATTGGGGTGTCCTGAGGCTGTTTAGACCCTGGGGGCACACACGGGCATGTGGGGGTCAGGACATAGGTGTGTGTAGGACAGCGTGCCTCCATGATAGTACATATGCAAAGATGCCAAGTGCCAGTGTGGGTCCTGGCTACTCTGCCTGATTGGGTTTTGGGGTCACCTGCCCCATTGCCCAACTCCCGCTGTGATGCTGTGGTCACTGCTTTGCTCCTGCTGATTCCACATTGTGCACCTTTCCTTCCTGTGAAATGAGGTATCTGAAGGCACCAGACTGGACTTTGGGAGACCCTCCTCCCTGTGCCCCAACTTCTCCATTCACCTGACAGCAAAGACTGGGAAATGCAGGGGCCGAGGCTGCATACCCAGGGCCAGACCTTCCTCACCGAGTGCCCTTGTGTCCCCAGACCTGCCCATGCAGCAGAACATGGCGCTGTTTGAGTTCAACGGCCAGAGCGGCTACCTCCTCAAGCATGAGCTCATGCGAAGGCAGGACAAGCAGTTCAACCCCTTCTCGGTGGACAGCATCGACGTGGTGGTAGCCACCACCCTTTCTATTACGGCAAGGCTCTGAGGACCATGAGAGGCGGGGAGGGCAGGGGTCTGAGGAGAAAGACTGAGGAGCCTGGCTACACCTCTCCCAACCCCCTCCCCTGCTATCCTGAAAACTTCAGCCCCTGCCAGTTCGAGCAGTAGCAAGTTGCCTTGGAAACTGCCTCCTCCTCAGAGCTGGAGGCTGCTTCTTGGTCCCCATGGAAACCAAGGGGAAGGGCTGAGGCTGGGTGGGGGAGGGGAGAAGAGTGGGCAGAGTGGGACAGCAGGAAGCTCAGGCCCTGGGGGAGGGCCTGGTTCCTCTTTTGCCTTGGGGGGGGGGGCAGTGGGGAGGCGCACACCTCTTCCCTGAGTGTTGGAAGCTCCTTAGTTGCCAGAGTTTCCCTGTAACCCCTGAGCCATGCGACTTCAACTCAGTGGCCAGAGCTGAGTGGGGTTCTTCACAATACTCAAGAAGGGATGATTCAGCCAGAGGAGTTGGAGGTCCCAGATGCTGGGAAACACCAGAGGTGGAGGACTCTGACAATGGCCTCCTCTGGGCCTGCCTGCACCCCCAGGTGATCTCTGGGCAGTTCCTGTCAGAACGCAGTGTGCGCACCTATGTAGAAGTGGAGCTGTTTGGTCTTCCTGGGGACCCCAAGAGGCGCTATCGCACCAAACTGTCACCTGGTACCAACTCCATCAATCCTGTCTGGAAAGAAGAGCCCTTCGTCTTTGAAAAGGTGGGGAGGGTCATCTAGGGGAGGATAGAGCCTGGGGTCTCTCCCCAGCTCTTGGTCTCTATTTATAGAAAAGAGAAACACTTAAAGGGACCTCCTTGATCCTTTTCCTCTCTCCACTCCTTCCGTGTCCTACAGTTTCCAGGTTCCAAAACCAACGATAGAAATTTATGTGGAGGGACATGCATGTGCTCATATATGTGTGCATGTATGTCCATGTTAGGGTATGAGGCTCAAGTGTGAACCCCAGTTCAAGCTTCAAGGCCCCATGGCTACTCATTGGCAAAGCTGCCAAGTATTGTCTGTACAGGACCCTGAGCCCGGGGCTGCACAGTCAGCCCTTTGCTAGTCTGAGACTAGTTGCGGTATGAGCTTGAGGATGTGTATGTGTGTGACCTAGAGCACACCTTCTCTCCTCACCAAACCTGTAACCCTGCCATAGTTTTCACCCTGATACCAACAACTCTGCAGCCAGGGCCCCGGGAGGTATCTGGCCTCTCTCCTCTCCAGATTGACCTGTCCCAAACTCTCCTCAGATCTTGATGCCAGAGCTGGCCTCCCTCAGGGTGGCTGTGATGGAGGAAGGCAACAAGTTTCTGGGACATCGAATCATCCCTATCAATGCCTTGAATTCTGGTAAGGATGGGGTCCTTCTTTACTGTTCCCAGAGAAGGTCTGAGGCTAACATCAGCTTCAAGAACCCAGGGTGGCACAACTTCAGAGAGTTGGGGGCTGAGATCTTACCTCACCCTTCATCCCTGGGGAGGGGACAGGAAACAAACCAAGGCGGGGGCTCTGCCCCCCTAATAGTATGTCTATAATTTTCTGGAACTGCTGGGGCAGTTTTCCAAGTAAGTGGCACTTACTTACTGGGAGCTTAAAGTGCATTAAGGATTTTTCAACATGTTCTTTCTCACTTAATCCTAACAATCACAACAGGAGATAGACACTATTAACCCCATTTCACAGAAGAGGAAAGTCTCTGAGATTTAAAAACAAATGCTCAAGGCCACAGTCGGGAAAGTGTGGAGCCAGACTCAGACTCTGCTCTCTGACTCTAAAACCACAAGTCTCGGGTCCTACGTTGCTCCTGTGCCTGCTGGGTGTCTCTGGCTCACTGCCCGCCCACGTCTCTGACAGGGTACCACCACCTGTGCCTGCACAGTGAGAGCAACATGCCCCTTACCCTGCCTGCACTCTTTGTCTTCTTGGAGATGAAGGACTACGTACCCGACACCTGGGCAGGTAGGAGGCCCATGGCATGCTGGGAGTCTCAGGCTGTCCATTGGCCCTGCCCCCTCATCAAGCCAGCCTCCAGCATGGGGCAGAACAGGGTATCCCAAACTAGGTGAGAGTGGGGATGGGTGGTTTCCAGTTTTGTCTCCATACTAAGCTCTGGATACCTCCAATGCACCCAGATCTCACAGTGGCCCTCGCCAATCCCATCAAGTACTTCAGTGCACATGATAAGAAGTCTGTGAAGCTCAAGGAAGCCATGGGAGGTGTGCCTGAGGTCTGTATTTCTGGCTCCACTGCCAGTGGCCCTCAGGAACTTTGCCCTTTGGGGGAAGATGGAGGAGGGGCAGACCCAACCTCAGGCAGGCAGAGAGGGAGACCTGTGGGAGCCACCTTCCTAACACACCCCTCCAACACAGAAGCCCTTCCCACTCCGGGGCCCAGTGGCTGCTCAGGTCAACCAGGCATTGGTCCCTACCAGCAACGGGTCACCAGGTATGTTCTCCGTGTCTCTTAACTATTGTAAGGACCTCAACAAGCCAGACCCAGGGGGCTGGCAGCTCTTTCAAAAACAGTGGCTTTCTCCTGGGGAGAGAAGGAAAGTCTGAAGCCTCAAGGCAGAAAGTACTCTGCAGGGGGTCCATACTGCCAAGCCTGGGGTGGCAAAGGGTTCCTGGGGGTCAGTGGCTTGGGGGGTTGGAGACGGGAGGGGGGTGGGGGAGGAGGCAGCTGAGCTGGGCCCATGGCTCCCTCCAACACCTGCCAATCCATCCTGTGACTTGCAGCTTGGCCCAAGGAGGAGGCCGCGAAGGAAGCTTCGGGTAAGACCTGCTGATTCGAATGATCTTGGGGACAAACCTGGGAGGGGTTTTCCGGGACTCTTGGTGGCTCCTGTGCCAAGGCACACCTCATCCGCAGCACCCGTGGAACCGCGGACCGCCAGCCTGGAAGAGCTGCGGGAGCTGAAGGGCGTCGTAAAGTTGCAGCGCCGGCACGAGAAGGAGCTGCGGGAGCTGGAGCGGCGCGGCGCGCGGCGCTGGGAGGAGCTGCTGCAGAAGGGAGCCGCGCAGCTGGCGGAGCTCGGGTCTGCGGGTACTGGAGGGGGCCGCAAGCTCTACCCCGGCAAGGGCTCCCGCAAGAAAAGGTAAGGGCCGCGGCGGCACCCTGCCTTCCGCGGCGCAGACTCGGGCGCAGACTCAGGACCTGTCCTCACGTGGCCTCTCAGGACCCTCGCGGACGAGGACGCGGTGGCCGGGGCTGTGGCCGGCGAGAGCCCCGAGGGCGCAGACGTGCGCGTGAGGGAGTTGAAGGACAGGCTGGAGCTGGAGCTGCTGCAGCAGGGCGAGGAGCAGTGCGAGTGCATCCTGAAGCGCAAGGAGCAGCACGGGGCGGAGGTGCCAGGGTGGGAGGGAAGGGAGGGAGGGACAGGAGGGACAAGCCCACAGCTTGGGCACGGTGAAGGCTTCTCACCAAACCCATCCACCCGCTCCCCCAGCAAATCGCCAAGATGATGGAGCTCGCCAGGGACAAACAGGCTGCAGAATTGAAGGTCCTCAAAGAGACCTCAGAAATGTATGTCTGACTCTCCTCCTGTGCCTGACTCTCGTCAGGAGACTCTGGTCCACAAAACACCTCCCCGATGCCTGTCCCTCTGCAGTGACACCAAAGAAATGAAGAAGAAGCTGGAGGCCAAGAGGCTGGAGCGGATCCAGGCCATGATTAAGGTCACTGCTGACAAGATGGCCCAGGAGAGGTGAGCCCAGGTGGGGGGCCAGGACTCAAAATGCAGGCCCGGTATTGAACAGGAAACATTCCTGGTGGGAAGTGGACACTGACTCGATTTCCACAGATGTGCCTGTCCTTTGGCTCTTGAAAGTTACTGTCATTGTCCTTTCTGGTCAAAGGAAGACACAGATGCCGACACTATTTGACCAGAGAGAATTTAAGGAAAGTCAAGCAGCTGCTTCCCACCTGTGCTTTCCTATGCATACCTTGAAGGAATGAGCATTTTAGTGAGAAAACCTTTGCTCAGAGGACCCCCAGGGCTCCCAATGGGCCCTCAAATCCTCCTTGGGTCTCCTCTGGTTAGTTCCCACCCCTTTTGCATAGTACTTGTTTGGCTTTATCCTGAGATTTCTTCAATTCTTTCCAGGAAACTCCTGCCCCCTCTGAAAATCTAATTTTTCTGAAACTCTAATCACCTCAACAGGTTGAAGAGAGAGATTAACAACTCCCACATCCAGGAAGTGGTGCAGGTCATCAAACGGGTGTGTAATAGCTGTGTCTTCAAACACACACACACACACACACACACACACACACACACACACACACACCCCACACACCCACTGTCCAGGGCAGGAAAAGACTGGCGACTGGCTCCAGGTCTTTTCTTTGCCCTTAGGAGATGTGCCCCAGGTAAATAGGTATGGGAGGAAGTAGTGTAGGGGCAGGAAGCCCCTAAGCAATCCAGGAGTTATGGCCTTTGTTTTGCAGTTGTGGGTTCTGTCTTAGAGGGCTCTGTCTCTGTCTAGCTGCCCTGGATGGAAATGGTATGTGCTGGCTGACCAGGGAAGGATGGGAGTGTGGGAGTGAGGAGGTTTTTCTGAGGCTTCAGGGTCAGAAGAGGAAGGAAAGCCCTCCTGAGAGAACTAAAGCTCCCCTGGGAATGATTAACAATAGTAACAGAGCTCCTACCTACCACTTCCTGACTCTGTGCCAGGCACAAAACTAGGTGCTTCCTGTGAACTGTCTTCATGTGAGACTTCACAACCCAGTGAGAGGAGTACTATTACCCTCATTTTACAAAAATTTAAAAAATTGTTCAAAGATTAAGGAATTTTTCCAAAGTCATACAATCTGTCAGCTGGGATGGTAGCTGGATTCCAACCCAAGTTGCTTGCCTGTGCTGTCCTGACTTCCTACTTCTTACTCCTGCCCAGATGACAGAGAACCTGGAGAAGCACCAGGAAAAGCTGGAGGAGAAACAGGCAGCCTGCCTGGAACAGATTCGGGAGATGGAAAAGCAGGTGACAAGGCCCCTTACCCTGTACTCAGCAAAGCTGGCCTGTTTCCCGGGTGTAAAGGGGGTATGCTTCAGAGAACTCCCAGTCAGAAGGTTTGCAGGGGTGGGGGTTGCAGGGAAGGAACCCCTTCCTTATCCTTGTGTCACAGGTTCTGGTTCTGAAGGGATACTGAGACCCTTTCAAATAAGACAGTTCTCAAATGAGGGGGCATCTCTTAATTTGGTTGGCACCCCCTCTCCTAAGGGGCGTTACTACCCCACAGCTCCCACCCACTCTCCTGGGAACTCTGAACAAACTGGGCATGACCTTGTTCTACCCCTGTGGGAGGGTGGGTGGGCAAGAAACTCGGAACCAAACAGTGGTCCTTGCTGTTCCCACAGCTCCAGCAGGAGGCACTGGCAGAGTATGAGGCCAGGATGAAGGGCCTGGAGGCCGAGGTGAAGGAGTCCCTGAGGATCTGCTTCCCTCTGGAGACAGAGGACAAACCCGAGAGACTCTTTGGGGCTTCCAGGGAGTCATGTGGGCAGGACCCACTCATGGCAAAGGAAGAGACCCTGGAAAGCCACCTCTAATGCTCCCTGCCTATGTGATACTCCACAAGGATGATCAGACCCTTTGCTGGGACATGACTCCATCCCCCTGCTAGGAAAGGGCCCAGCAATCTGAGGCTGAGGGAAGCTGGGGCTCCCTTGAATACCAGACACGCTCTGCTGCCCAGAGGTCTTCTCCAAGCTGGCATCCTGCTCCTCATTCTCCCCATTCCACCTCTGAGTAAGTGTCACATATATGTTGGAGGCAAACGAATGTAGGTTGGGAGCCAGGAACTGGAATCCTGGCCTCGCTGCCTTTCCCTAGAATATAACTAGTCATGCCCCACTTTGAACTTAATTTACTCACAGAGTGTTAGGCCACTTGAGCTCTCCTCTCTACCACCTGTAGTTCAAGCAGGACCATACCCAAACCTTCCTACTACAAGGTGGGGAGCTCACCTAGGCCTCTAGCCCTGAGTGGGCTTTGTCAGCACCCTGATATAGAACCTGCTACTACTTCCAAGCTCCCTGAGTGGTTCTTCTAGGATGCCATGCTGAAGTCTCTGCCCTTGCCTCCTGCCTCTGAGGCAGAGAGGCTGGGTGGGAAAACTGCCTCCACTGTCTGGCCCTCAGGCTGCTGAGACACCTGGGACTATGCATGGGTGTGGGCACCTCCCACCCAGAGCCTGGACCACCCCTTTCCCTAGGCCTGGGGGTATGGCCTAGCATGTACCCCCCCTCAGGCTGACTGCCAAGGTCAGCATCATGTTCTCTCCTGCCTTTGTGAGATTTATTTATTTTTCTTTTAATTATTATTTAAAATTTTTTTTCAATGGACACATACTTTCTTCCTTTTTACTTCTACTGAAAGACCTGGCTCCAGGTCTTTCTGCCTGAGCCTGGCCTGTTCTACAAGTAAGAAATAGAGGGCAGGAGGGGGCAACAGAATAACATGACCTCAAAATGAAGCCAGCTGGAGGGAGAATCTTGGGAACTGAACCTGGGGTGGGCTGTCTTCAGGAGCCCATGGAATGGCCCTGCCTCTGCGCATGAGAGGATGCACTTAGCCTCTGGTGGTCCTGCTGCCACAACCATCAGAAATGGTGTCCCTCTTCCCCAGCCCCACCCAGGCCCTCAATGTCTCACCCTTAGGGCGAGAGCAAGAGTCTAGCAATGTCTCACCCTTAGGGCGAGAGCTCCAGCTTTCTGGGGAGTTGTAAACCTTCACACCACTTGGGCCCTTTAGTCAGGTTCAGAGTGGTCAGATTCTCAGTCCCCTGTGGTACTATGGTGACCCCAACACTTGTGGTACAGGGACGCCTAGGCAGCTGTCGCTGCACCTATGGCATGATCCTAAGTCCCAAATGGGGACAGGCTCGGGCTTGGGAGAGGTAGAATGGAGGGTGATTCTGGGAAGACGTTGTTTTCTTATCAGAAAGTTAGAGCAATTGCCATTAACTATGAACACCTGTGCCTTCGGAAAATAAACAGAGATGCCATCCTTCCTCCTCCCCCCCAACCACCATCCCACTGGGGCCTAATCTCTGGGATCCTGGCAGTCCCTGACTGCAGGGCGAGGCTGGGGGGGCTGTCATTAATGCTTGTGAACACGCTGGATGCAGCTGAGGTGAGGGGTGCTGGGCAGTGGTGACACCTCCACCCCAGGGTAGCACACTGGCTTCAGACCTCCAGTTGGCCTCTCAGTTGGTTCATCCCCAACCCCCACCCAGCAGTAGAACCATACAGGGAAACTCACTGAGCCAGGTATGGGGACAAAAGAATCTGAGCCAAATAGAGTCCACTGGGCTGTGCCCCAGCTTCTGCCAGCAACTACTCAGAGGAAGGAGAGGCTGCCTTTCCCTGGCTTCTCAGGCCCAGGCAGAGTCTTGGGGCCCCTAGTCTCCCCAGTTGGGTATTAGGAAGCCCAGGTTGATGGGGAAGGGAATGCAATCTGCCACCTAGAAAGTCACAGCAGGCTGGGCCAGGCCCAGTTACTCCCCACCCTGCTTTCTGTTCTCAGAACAAAAGAGTAAGGTGCCCCCTGGGAAATTGCCAGTCTCTGGGCCCGGGAGATGAATTAATCACAGGCTGCAGGGATGTTCAGAGGAAGAGTTGATGCCCTCCCTCAGGGTACAGGGCAAGTGAAAGGCACCTGGGTTCCATTCCTGCTGTGTCTCTGTGGGGTTGGGGCAAGGCACCCTGTCCATTCCCTTTCACCTTTGCATATTGAGAAGGGTCTCTACCCTCTTCTCAATCCCATTGCTGACTCAGATGCCAGAATCCCCTGCTGACTCACCCCGCCCCCTTTACCTCTCCCCACCCCCAACCCCAGAAGCTCTCTGGATCTCCCAGCCACGTGCCACCAGGCCCAACCCTGCTGAGCTGGTGCAACGTGACAGGGTGAGGGGGCTGGTAACACTTGAGGAGGAAAGAAGGGGGTCTAGTGGTGGGGGCAGCTACAGACGGTGACGACTGCAAACCTGAGCAGCTGGGAGAAGCCCTTTTGCCAGCCTGGGGCCTGCAGGGGAGAGGCTCAGCAGGTGGGAGGGGAGTGTGGAGAGCCTGCCTGTCCTTGCCTGCTTCAGCTCCATCTCCTGTCAGCCTTCAGCTCCCTAAGCGACAGCTTCTAATTCCGGCTGTTGGTGCCTCTGTGCTCTGCAGCAAAGTCTCAGCTTTTTTTCAGCTTTGCTATTTCTTTTCTGTTCAGAACATACTGAGCCCACAGGAAAGTCAGAGCAAAGGCTCCTGGACCTGAGACCTGGAAAGAAACCCTCTCACCCCACCCCACTACAGGCCTGGTCCTGTTGGTGATGCCATCTGGGTGAATGGAACTGGCTGCTCCTTCCAAAGAGTCCCCAGCATGGCATTCTCTGCCAGGCCAGGGTGAAGTGCTGGTGGGGACCTGCCTCAGCTCTTCTTCCTGGGTACTGTTTCCATCCTCCACAGGGAACAAGGACTTAAAGGAAGTGGAGTTGTCTGAGACAAGGGGGCATGGTTCTATAGGACCCATGAGATGAGATACCTTTTCTGAGTTCCTGTGGCTGCCACCCTCCACCTAGGGAGTGTCACTGCCTGGCGTGCCAGGTGGGCCTGCCACACAGAGATTCCAGGGGTAACCCCTCCCCTGAGCCTGGAAACAGAAAAAGGAGGCATGAAAGCAATTTCCTCCATCATGTAAAAGAGGGAAGGGAAGCAAAACCTTTCTTCTGTTAAGTGAAGAGGGAACGCTTCCCTGCATCCTTGCTGGAGTTGGGGAGTCTATGACCCACTCTTGGATGACAGCTCAGGAAGGGCCCCACCAGGTCCTGGGTGGATTGTGCATTCTGTACCTGGAATTATCCTGTAGCACTTTACTAACACTCAAGCATTATCTTGCAAGGAGCAGATGGGACCAGTATTATGGGCCTCATTCAGCAGTTGAGACTATGCCACAGTGCTCGTAAATACCTTCAAGTTAGGACTTAACTCTAAGGTCAAAGATAGAACCCTGAGAAGGGGGTTGGGGGGCTCAAAAGTGTGAAAAGGAAGAAGGGGGATTTCCCAGAGTGTGCAGGGGTTCACCACATGCTCCCCCAGGAGAGGGGACCATGGCAGCTCCTATACCATAGCTGGGCCCCAGGTGCAGGAGGATCACCCTGGAGTCTGGGGGCTGAAAAAAGGCCAGAAACTCAGGGTGCCAGGGGCCTGTGGTCACCCGGCCACTCACCCTCCTGGGTCCACTGTATTCTTTCCAGAGCCAAGTCTCTTTCTCACCTCAGATCTTTCTCAGGGGGCGCTAGTCCTGCAAAGCATCGAGTCACTGCTCTGGCCAAGCTGAAGTCTCCTTTATTTTCCCCATTTCCTGTATCATGGAAAAGAACCCCTTAAAGCAGTCGTTGATATTATCCCCAAAGGTATTTTCCCCCCTCTTCTCTGTAGTTCCTTCAATCTGGGATAGCTTCCTTATTTCTGAGCAGCCAGATCCCACACATCCTTGAAGACCTCTTCAGTTCTGGAACCGCCTCCACCCCACAGCTCTACAGCCCCATAGTCCACTTCCCTTAAGTACTGTTTTGGTTGTATTTTAGGTTGAATGCAGGCTCAGGTGATAGGTCACCTCTACTTTTTATACCCGGGTCTTCTCTTCAGGCTTGAGAGGGGTATATCACGCTTCCATCCAGAACCTCTTCTGCCTCTGTATTTCCCACAACAGGCAACACAATAACTGGCTCGTGATAAATCTCTAGAAATGTGTAGTTGGTACCTGAGTCACTCCTTACTTTCCGACCACTCACTGCCTCCCACCTACCCTAGGCTCTGTGGTGTCCAGACTGCTACTGCCGAGCTTTGCCCAGCTCCCTCCCTCCAGGGCCCAAGCCGCAGACAGGGGGGGGGGGGGGGGTGCAGTCATTTTCCCACAAGCTGCTGACTCTTGCTCTCTTCTCCTTCCTCTCCGAAAGGGTCAGCTAGTGGTCAAGGTCGGAGCCCTGTGCCTTAGGTGTGCTTTCGTGACCTGGACTGTGAGGGAGTCTTGTGCGTTATTTCTAGCTTTTTCCGAGGTGACAGTGGGTCCCAAAGAGGCGACCCAGAATTGCTCGTGCGGCGGCAGCACTCGGGGATCCTAAAGCGGCGGCTCCACGTCTCTCCGCTCCACCCGCTCCCCCAGCATCCCGGAGCCGGCTTGCGGGCGCTTTGTCAGGATTGGAGACGTCTGAGATTGGAGCGCGCGCTCCCCACCCCCGCTCGAGTGAGCGTGTGCGGGAGGAACAATTGTGTGTGAGTGCGTGATTCGCTACACTTCGAGTGGCAGTTCCCAGCCAGACTGAGCGCCCCCCCACCTCGCGCACAACGTAGATGCCCCTCCCCCAGATGACTCCCCGTCTACTTTTCGCGTCACCTCCAATTCGTTTATAATCCAGTCCTGTACTCATGGGTCCTCATTTCCTTCCACCTCGACCACTGAGGGCAGCCCTCGGTGTTCCCCGACGGGTCGAGGAAACTAGCTCCCGCCAGTTTCTAAGGCGCTCTGAGCCCCGACTCCTGAGGGGGCGGAGGGCGGGGAGAGAAGACTGTGACTTTGGGATTGGTCGGGTCGGGTGCATGTGTCCCCCACCGAGCAGCCTCCGCCTTCGCCCCGCAACCGCCGCGGCAGCCCCAGGGGAGCGCGGAGGAGGAGCCGCTCCCGACATCGTGGCCCACGAAGGGGTGGAGGTCAGGGGCGGTCTCCCCAGGGCATCCGTTTCTGCCGGGACGTCTCAGCCCGCTTCCCCGGCAGCCATTGCCATGGAGACCCCCGAGACTACAAAGCCAAGGCTCCCGGCAGGCGGCGGCTCCCGCGCTGTTGAGCCCCCCAAGTAAGGAGCAAGCGCCCCGGCGTGGCCCGGCCCCCGCGAGAGGCGAGGAGGCGGAGGAGCGGCGCCAGCAGCTTGAGGAGCCGCGCGCCCCGCCAGGGCTGGAGGCAGGCGCGCACCGCGGGCGCCACCGTCTCAGCAGGGGAGCGGGCGCTGCCCCGGCTGCGGGTGAGTGGCGCGGCTCCAAGCCACAGGGGACTGAGGGGCGCCGGACACGGGGAAAGCCGCGAGAGGATCAGGAGGGGGCCGAGCTTTGGCTCCCGTCGTCTGGTGGCGGGCGAGGCGCGGAGCTCAGAGTAGCCAGAAATCTACACCTTCGGGCGGGCGGCCAGCGACGCTGCCTCAGGATACCAGGCGTGAGACCCGAGAGCGGCGGGGCAGCGGGAGCCTCAGGGGGACGAAAGTGGGACCCTCGGCCGCGGCCGCCCACGCGCGGAAGGAGCC